TGGAAACCACACCTGAGGAGGAAGGACTGAAAGAAGTGGGCCTGCTTAGCCTTGGAGGAAAGAAGGCTGAGGGGAGGCAGGGGAGCCCTCTTCAAATTTATTTATTTATTATTTATTTATTTTATTTCTATCCCGCCTATCTGGTCATACTAGACCACTCTAGGCAGCTTACAATCGGAGCAACAATAAAATTATTAAAAACATTACAAATAGACACAAATGGAAATCAAAGAATATAAAAGAAAAATCGTCAGGGATTATCTGTTGGGAAAGCCTGCCTATACATCAGTGTTTTCAATTGTTTCTTAAAAATTGTATCTTTCAAAGACTTGAAAGATAGTCCAGCAGAGGAGGGGGCAGGATCTGTCCTCGATCATCCCAAGAGGGCAGGCACATTATCATGGGCTCAAACGACAGGAAGCCAGATTCAGTGACATTGTCTTATCTGTTATCCGTGCCGGAGAATTGGGACCGAAATCGGGTGCTAACAATATAGAATTAAGTGATTCTATAAAGGCGAGTGAAGGAAAATACTTTGGCTGTCCTGAGAGGGATAAGTGGATGCTGAACCCGGAATCTACAGCGTGGGTGGGTGTCTGATAGACTCAGGCTTGGTAAAGGACTAAATGGAGGCTGTTCTACTTGGGACACACCATGAGAAGGCAAGACCTGCTTGGGGACAAAAAAAGAATGCTAGGAGAAGTTTTAGGCATCAGGAGAAGAGGAAGTCCAAAGACAAGATGGACCGACTTCCTACAAGAAACCACATTTGAGAGATTGCTCGTTCATGTGGGGGTATCATCTTCCATCAAGTCAGAACTTCATAGAGTTTCAAAGATATGTGAATGTTTTAGGGAATGGTTTTGCCCGTTCCACCCTCCTCTGGGTTTCCAGGGGCAAGTGGAGATCGGAACCTGGGTCTCCTGAGGTCTCCCGGACTATCCATTGGTGGGCCACCCTGGGCGTTATGGGTACCGTTGTCATTTGAAAGGCACTTGATGGCCCGAAATGACAATTGATTCGTGAGTCTTGATTCACCCTACGGAGTGGCCAGTGATGTGGGGTTGATGCATGTGTGACCTTTTGTTGGTGGTGGTGGTGGAGGGGAGGCAAGGGGTTGGGGGGGAGGGCTGTCCTGATTCCTAAGGCTTCCTCCTCCTGTTGTACGGGTCTCCTCACCCATCGAAGGTTTCCGTCTCATCCCCAGCAAGACATGTCCACGCTCTTTCCCTCCCTCTTCCCCCGAGTCACGGAGGCGCTGTGGTTTAACCTGGACCGGCCCTGCGTGGATGAGAACGAGCTTCAGCAGCAGGAGCAGCAGCATCAAGCCTGGGTGAGCGGGGAAAGGGACCGAGAGGGCGTTCAGGGAGCAAGCGGGAGGACGGGGTTTCTGTGCCAGAGATAAATCAGGCGAGGAAAGAACTCTCTTTTTTTGCCGAGAACAATCCTGAGCTTCAGGGATGGGCAACACATGGGCTGCGTCTCTCCCTTCGGATTCCTCAACTGTCACCGCCTAGGTCAACGCTGGTAAAAACCAAAGCTTAATAAGAAAGGCGAACCGTGCTCCTGAATTGCCTCCAGGAGGTGCAGGTTTTCCCGTTCTGGCAGGCGACGTGGCCTGTGGCCGGTCCACGGCGTTGGCTCCTGAGCCTGTGGAATCCCCACCCCACCCTGTCGTCGTTGGTCAGCCCACGGTGTCTCATTTCCTTGCTTCAGAGCTACTGTCTTCACAAAAATAATCTGCACCCACCCACCTACCATGAGCTTTTTGGCTACCAGGTGGGGTGGGGCCAGCCAGAATCCTGAAAGACGGCGGTCCTTTTTGTCCTGATGAAGACAGAAAGCCACTGGTGCCTTAAGAAGGTTTATTGGGCTGATGGATGCAGGCCGGAAGCAAGAGGAAAGCCTGCAGATGCTCTTGCCTGCTGGAAAGCACACGCCCGCTTGAGTTCACCCGGGTATAATGATCCCTACAGAGGCCTGGCACCACACAGATGTTTATCTCTGCCCTTCCACCGTGGGGGAGCTCCCAAGATCTGGGCATCCAGAGTTTTTTTTTTAATCTGCCCTAGGCCTTCTCTGTGGAAGGAATGGTCGGGAGTAGGCACCCACTCCTTGCAGGAGAAGGGAAACGGTTATGCACTGAGCGGGGGGGGGGGGGGCCGTGGAAGGAATGGTTGGGAGTAGCCACCCACTCCTTGCAGGAGAAGGGAAACTGTTATGCACTGAGCGGGGGGGTGGGGGGGTCACGTCCCTTCTCCGGCCAGTTTCCAGCCTGTTTTCACTTTGGTAAGATAAGCTGCTCTTAGAACCGGAGTGTTGTGCCTTCATCATGGGATGCATCGTTTCTTTCCATGCTCCCCCTCAGCGGGAGACGAGGGATCCAGGAAAGAGCGTATCCATGTGTTTTCTACCTGATCTACCTGTCGTTTCTACATGTTCTTAGTAAGACTTATTTGTCCTGATGCTTAATTTCTTCCCGTTTTATCACAGCTGCAGAGCATCGCAGAGAAAGACAACAACCTGGTCCCGATTGGGAAACCTGCCTCCGAGGTAACGACCGCCACGATTTCCCCTCGCCGCCTCTTTGGCTGGCGGCCGTGGGTTTCTGGGACTGGACCCCCCCCCACCCGAGGTGGGGCACGGGGGAAAAGGAGGTGACCGCTGCATCTGTGGTTTGCCTTAGCAGACTTATGATGAGGAGGAAGAGGAAGATGATGAAGACGATGAGGACAGCGAGGAGGATTCCGAAGATGATGAGGACATGCAGGACATGGATGAGATGAATGACTATAACGAGTCTCCGGATGACGGCGAGATCAACGAGGTTCGTGGTGTCAGGAGCAGGGGGGAGCGCTGGCTCTTTGTCCCCTCCCCTCCTCCCCCTCCGTACGCTTCTCTGGGGGGCAGAGGAGGGTCCTTCTATCCAAACACCAGCAAATCCAAGTAAGGCTGCACAGCTCCTTCGGGATGGGGATGGGGAGGGTAAGGCAGCAGCATCTCCAGACCTCTCCCCAGTTCCCGGGCACAGCGGGAACTCAGCAGGACTTGCACTTGAGTTAGGGTGGTCCAGAGGATGATGGGCCTCCCTCCCTTCTTGGAGCAGAACGGGCAGGGCGTGTCATCCAGGGCCGGCTTCTCGTCTCCCCCAAACGACCCTTTCCTTCGCAGCAGCGAGAATCCCGTCTGGGTCTTCTTCTCACTCCTCTTCTGTTCTCTCTCTCTTGTCTTCCAAGGTGGATATGGAAGGTGCTGAGCAAGACCAGGACCAGTGGATGATATAGACTCTGCAGCAGACGGAGCCCACGCTGGCCTTTGGGGGTCTGGTGGGGAAGGAAGGAGGGGAGGTTCATTTGGTGGGTGCCAGCCTGTCTTCCTGGATCTCGGCTGCCAAGGAGGCTGCTCGTGTGCCATCACCTGTACTGTGTATGCCCTGCTCCAGTGGCCAGACTTACAGCAGTTGTGCCATTGAACGGTCTGGGGCCAGCGAAAAAGCCACGAGGAATGGAAATCGGGTTTGGTTTTGCAACTGCTTTTTGCCAGAAAAGCAGCCTTTCTTTCAGTCTGTCTGTCTGTCTGTCTTGGCTGTCTGTGTGTGTGTGTGTGCGTGTTTCACTCTCAGTGGAAACCGTCTTGTCAATAATAAACACAGTTTGTACCCGACTGGTGTTTCTTTTATTGTGATCTGAGGTTCAAAACGGCCATGCGGGCTTTACTGCACACCTTGTGGCCACGTTTCATACTCAGGACCGCACTCAGGACCGGAGGGTTATTATCTTCAAACTAGAGAGCCAGGGGCAAGGAGAACTCTCCAGGAGAGCTGGCCCCTTGTGAGGGCAAGAGGGGAGGGGACAGGCCTGCTCTGATCAATAGCTGCCCTGGGCCATGGCGTCACTTCTGGATCATAAATAGCTGGAGACAAAATACCAGAAAGAGGGCAGGGAAGAGATGCCGGTTGGTGGGTCTCCAGAGAAGAGAGAGAGAGGAAGAGACCCACATTCCATCATCCTTGCAAACTCGCTTGCACATTCTTGCTTGGTGTGGCAGTTGCGCCCCTTTCTGAGAAACATGGAATTGCACACACACACACCACCTTTAAAAAAAAATACTGTTTCTTCAGATGCTTTTACGTGGTGGGTACTTTTGATTTTTTTTTTTGTTTATTTATTTAACTTTTATGCTGCCCACACTACCCAAAGGTCTCTGGGTGGCTTACAACAATTTTTCAG